TATGTGTAGATTAGCTCTATTGGTATTATTTTGTGAGTGTTTTTCATTTTTTTACTAAAGCCTAACTATACGTCTATACCCCAACTTAGGGGCTGTTTGTTTACTGCTGAATGGAACCATTCAGCGCTGAATGCTGAACCGTTCAACATTCAGTGTGTTTGATTCTCACCTCTGAATGAAAACTATGCTGAATGAAACAACAAAACACTGCTGAATGATTCAGCATTCTGAATCATTAAGCACCCGATATTTTACCATAATACCTATTTTTTCACATGTCTTATTAAACAATCATATCTTATAATATAATAAATCATTATGAAGGTAAAAATGAAAATATTCATAATTCATATTGTACATTCAGAATCATTATCAAACATCATGTCACATTCAGAGCCAATTCATACAGAGCCTTTGAATCATCCAGACCATTGAATCATTCAGCATTTAATCATTTTATTTTATCAAACAACCCCTTATTTTCATTTCCTTAAAGTTATGTCGGCATAGGAGGAGGAAGTTGGATTTTGGTGCTAAATGACCAGTTTTTCTTTTGGCTAAAGCTATTAAATTGAGTTTTTAGTGTTAATTTCTGTAGATGTTTTCTTCACTTCATTGGAAGTACTGATGGATAATTGGTTACCGTAGCTTCTAGTATTCTTTGTTTTTGTTACTAATTATTATTAAGATTTATTTAGAAAAGGAAAAGACCTCTATGTGGAAGTTTGGAACTAAACTTTTGCAAACTTTTAATTTACAAAAATTGTTAAACTTGCTGGCTACCACAAGGATAGAAGCATGATGTTGTTGGTTATGGGATCTTCTAAACATTTAAAAGATGTGTTGGTTTTTGGAACATAGGCTGTAGGTCACCTTTCATGCTTTTTTCTACACATATTCTTATCAGTATCATTTAAATTACTAGTTGGTACTACTATTGGAAATATACCATTTTTTTTCTTTCGATTTTTTGTTATTACTAGATATAGTTATATGAACAAGTTGGGGTATTCAAATTCTGTTTGAATTGTTTGGTAGTTATGATTTGCTAAAGTGATGATATGCGATAATATCAAATTGCTTTTGATCCATATTTATAACAATATAAATTTGAGATGATATTGGTATTTATGTTGAAGTGGTATATTGTGATGCAAAAAGGCATTTCTTCATTTGGAGTTTAACTGGTATTTTCTAGTTTCTACATAATCAGTAATAACATGGTTATTTGTTAAATGTTTATATATTTGTTTGTTTTATATTTAAACCACCTTACTCTATTATTATTAATAAAAAGTAGAAGTTTGTTGTTATTTTATTTTTAAAAGGTAGCAAATAAGATAGCTATTTAAATTTTTTTCTTTTACTTGTCACTACATTTCATTGGACATGCAGGCATTTGAATTGTATACACCTCTTTTGTTTTGAATCTGCTAAACTTTTTAGTAATGGTTAAACATAACTGAAGTTGAATTATTCTGATCAAGAAAATAAAACTGTTATAATTAAAAGGTTCGACTATTATCCTTATTTAAACTACTTATATTCCAACCAACACTGACAGAATTCAGTTAGCAGGTGTATAGATAGTCCTCAATTGAATTTTGTGGGATTCATTATCAATTTTCTTTTTATTTTTTTTTCATGCCGATTCTTTTCCTAAGAAGTCTTGGTCCAAAAGGTTTCTAAATGTTCAATATAGTTGCAAATGTTTCAAGCTAAGTTGACCTCCTTTCAAATCAAAGAGCAGGCATCTTCTTCGAGATAACAATTCACTTCTTAGAGATTCAGCTTCTGTATTAAGGATTAGGGTATGTGTAACGTTGATGCCAATTCCTTAGTATTATGTGCAGTATCTTAAAGGCAAATGGTGATTAGGGGGTTGGATTTTGCCTTGTTGGATGAGAGCAAAGTATATTTGGGTTAAATTAGCAAAGTGAGATTGTATATAGAGAGATACTACGAGTATAATGGTTTATTATTGATTGTCTACATACTTTAAGGTTGAAGTGGATTTAGGTTCACCAATGCTTGAGGATTCCTGTTAAATTTTTAGCACTTATTATTTTCTTATATAAGTTCAAATTTATGATTAATATATAGCAATGCTTTCTAGTCTTCTGAGATGGGGAAACAACTTGATGAGCTCAAAAAGTTTTGACAATTTGAACTAGACTAATGGAGGGATACATTTTTTTCTTTCTAAAGCTATGAAACCTGGCTTCGTATGTTATATATGTTTGTGTAAGCATGTTTACGTGATTTGGCATCTTTAGATCTCTTGGAATACATAGTTCATAATTGAATGGAAGTAAGCAAAATCATTAATGTGAGTTATAGCTTGAGAGTGAGGCTTTAATTGTGTTGTAGAGAGGCAACTGATTCTCAATAGATGGTAAAAATTATTCTTCTTTCATTCACAAAACATGCACACTATCCTGATAATTAAGTTTTCTCTTTAAGCAGATAAAAGCTAAATTTTGCACTTTCTAGGCAAGTGTTGGATATGAAACATTTTTTTTATAAGAATTGTAGGTCTCATTAAAAACCTCTCAGGGGAGGAGTCCAATTTCTATTCACTACTCTATCAACGTTAATATTAAAAGAATCCCTCAGGGGGAGGAGTCCATGAAGAGGAAGGAGATAACTGCATCCTTGAGATTGCACAAGTATCCACTAAGGATGGATCGCCAATAAGAGAGTCCATCAGAATAGGAACTTTAGGATTCTTGGCTGAAAACCACGCTGCTAATTTAAATCTTGCTAGAAAGAAAAGATGTGTTGTATCAAGCACCCCTTTTTCGAAAACAATAGCGTTCCTACACTTCCATATCGTCAATAAAACGACACCGGGGTAAAACTCCAAATGGATGAATGGGGCACCATATCCCCCATGCTACTAAAAAGGCTGATACGTTTACGTGCAGAATCGAGTACACTTTTCAAATATGCATAAAACTATTCCAAAATTCCAAGCTACTCTACATGAAATGAATAAATGAGATGTAGTTTCCGATTCAAGTCTACACAGAGGACACAAAGGGTCTGCAACCCCATGAACATCTCTCTTAATAAGCTCCGCTCTTACAGCCAACTTATGGTGAATCACTTGCCACATAAAGGTCTTCAGGTGGAACCAACCCCTGCCAAAGATATTTTCCTCCAAAACTAGTCCACTTCCAGCGAGTTTGAAAACACACTATTACATGACTTCACCGAGTAGGATCCCTCTCCATTCCCTTTCCATGTTATGCAATCGCTCATATTTTCACCAAATCTGAAATTGTTTGACAATGACATCAAATCAATCCACTGATCCAGTTCCCAATCGCTCAATTTTTTCTGCATTAAACACTCCACACCCAACTTGAGCTTCCAAGATCACCAAATTCGGCTACTCTTCCTTCTTTATTGACTGAAAGGGCAAACAATCTTGGGTATAAATTCTTTAAGGGAGCTTCCCTTATCCAAACATCATGCCAGAAGAGAATAGCCTCCCCATTGCCTACTTGAATTTGTAAGTGTTTGCGAAAACACATTCCAAATTCGTCATTCTTAAAATAGTTACAACTCCTCTCCAAATCCATGACGCTTGGGTGAATTTTGAATTGCTTAACACCATAGAGCTACTATTAAGATTGTACTTGCTGCATATCAACCTCTTCCACCATGAATCCTTTTCGTTGGCAAATTTCCATGTCCATTTCCCGATTAAGGCTCTGTTCATTAAGCTGAGATCAATAACTCCTAAATCCCCAGTCTTTTGGTTTACACACTGATGACGAATTAACCCAATGGATTTTGTCCTTCTCTGCTCCTCCAACCCAAAGGAATCTTGCCATTATGGTGATTATTTTTCTGTGAACGATTGAAGGTAGTCTGAAGATCGAAAGGTAATAAATTGGTAATGAACACAAAACCGATTTCAGAAGTACTAGTCTTCCAGCCATGGACAAGATAGCTGCTTTCCAACCAGCTAATTTGTTGTGAAATTTCAGAATAACAGGGTCCCACAAGGATATGAAACATGTCAAATCTTCAAGTGGCTCTGATTTAGTACAAGTGTCTTGCAGAAAACGACTTCAAATCATAATCTACAAAATATATAGTTTAAGCTCTAATTACTTCAACATGCATAAGCTATGCTGAATTTTTCTTTCCAAGCCCTATATTGGCCCTACCTTTGAAGAAACAAAGAGCATGCCTCATCATATGTGTTGGAATTTTGGAGGGAGGGAAAATTTTGTAGTGTCAAAATTATAGTTTATTGTTTTTTAGTGGTCATTGCTAAATGGTATTTAGTCATATGTCTATATGTTGGAAAATTTTCCTGCTGCTTTAAAACTAGCTCTTGAAGTCCTAGTTCATGTTTTTGGGTTCATCAAGCCTTTGTGAAAGGGTGATGTGCAAGTAATTAATATGTCCTTTTCTCTCTCTCGTATTTTGATGTATAGGTATGAGTTTATTTCTTTGCTTTTTCCTCCCTTTACTTATGGCATGTCTTTTTAGTATAATTGATTATGTTTCTTGATGAATAGCTTGGATTTCTTTGCATCTAATTTTGATGCTCCCAATGGAATTCTAAAGTATATGTTTGATATGTATCCAACATGAGTACTGCAAGAAAAAAAAACTTTAATCTACATTAGAATATAGCTAAATGTAATTACAGTGAACACATTAAGTTCTATTTGCTCTTGCTATACTTGCATTTATTTTACGGTTCAAAAGTTAGGTATTTTGATAATGCATAACTGTTTGAGTGTTTCTTTTGAACAGATTGCAACCCTCCTCCTCTATCTGGGCTTGGGACTGGCTGTGTTCACAAATATAGGCATTTAGTGTTCCACAGGCGGAGTTATTGCATCATATGCTTGTGATTCCTTGTTAAATACACTGCCCCTTATTCTAAGAACTCAATCTTTTATGTTGTATCTGGCGGTTTGTCTACTTTGTGATGCTTATATGCTGTCTAATTTTTCTGTGTTTTGATCTGACAGTTTGCTGACATAAAAAGCAGCCTGACGTTTCTTTTAAGGCCCAACATTTCAACAGGTAAATGTGTGCTGGTTATGTGAATGCAAGTCATGTCGAAGATAATTGTTCATCCTCTATTTGAGCAGTAAGTAGAAACATGATCCTATGGTTTTCTTACTTTGAAGTCTCGCTATCATCTACTTATATTTATTTATGTCTCTTAATATCATTCATATTAACTACTCATGATATGTATTAAATACTGAAGAAACTTATTTTCACCCTTTGTCGTATAGTCTTGGGAACATAATTATAACTATGGTATTTTCGTTGGGTACCCTGAACTGGTTTTCTCACTGTTATAGTGTTATATGAACCTTTCTTTTTCAATAGCAGATCATGGTATCAGTTTCTCATTGAAAACAGATTTGCAGTAAAATAATAGCATCATGGTATCAGTTTCTCATTGAAAACAGATTTGCAGTAAAATTACATCGAGGTGAGTGAATCTTGTTGCTGATGTTTCTATAGTTCATTAGTTGTTTGTAGCTTCACCTATGAAAATATTAATATATTTCTGAAGCACCTTGTTGCTATCATATATGTTTCATGACATAATTACATCAATTTTTTTCATATGAAAATATATAATTCTTTCGGGAAAGGGTTAGCTATGAGGGAGGTCAAAAAAAAAATGAAAATCAGCTTAAATAAGTGTAACTATGGCCTCCATTGTCAGTCATCTTTAAAACTTAAAAAAAAGAGTAAACCCCACATGGGATAGTTTTCCATTTTCTCCTTTATTATATATATTTTATTTATTACACTTAATTTATCTCAACATAACTAGCTTGGTTTTCTTGATCATCACACTTATGCTAATGTTCATTTGTTTAATCATTTCAAGCCAATGGTGTTTTTCTGAACAATCAGTGGTTTTAACATGAAACACCTTACTACAGGAAGTTTAACTCTTGGAGCCATGAGCTACTTGTTGATAGAAATCGAGTGACATCCAATCCCACTTTGATGCATTTTCTGTTGCTAATGCAATTGCAATATGCTGCATTTACCATGAAAAAGTTTGGAAATCATTTTGTGGCAAAGTGACGTTTGAATCAAATCATATACCATAAGGGAAAAAAATTACCCCAATTTTGTAGCTCTTGGTGATGTTTCAGAATTTTGTTGCTGTGGCTGGCTTAGCTGGAGATGGACAGGCTCGTGTGGATCCTCAATGCTTTGACCATTTGTGACAAACAATTCTTTGTTTGTACCATTCACATCTCTCGTTCCATAAACCTGGATGGGAAACTTATCTGTTGAGGTTGGTTTCTAAACATCTCGTAGGCGACAAATTTTAGTATCTGGAGTCTTTCTAATATCTCTAGGCTAAATGAGTTTTTATGAGCCATTCAAAAATAGACCTTATATAATTCCGTGTTTTCTAGACAAATTTGGTTTACCTTCTTATAGAATTCCACATTTTCTTGATGAATGAGGTTCCCCTGCAATGAGAGAATGTAATTTCGGCACTTTGAGTTGATTCGGTATTGTAGTAAGGAGATGGATTTATCATTTCAGTGTTTACCTTTCTGGTCAGTTCTTGAATTTCATCCATTAAAATTTGGTCCTACAGCAGTGGGGTAAATGTTACCAACATGGAGTTGCTTTATTTTGTATGCTATTTTAAACTAAAAAATTGACAATGACATGGAAATAGAAATCTCGACCTTCTTCATACGGACACCATGAAGGCTCATTTCCAATTGGCTCTCCAAATTCTGTAAATCTTTTATGGTCAATCCAGAAAGTTCTTCACCCATCATTTGCCTGTTTTGGTGTGCAGAAGCATGTTTTCAGTATAGGATTTGTTTCTTAGACATAAAAGCTTTTCATAGGCATATATATGAGATGAAATGAGCTTATCCTTTTCTATTATTGGGGTTATTTCTACTTTTGATGCATTTAATGCTTTTAAGCTAGATATCAAATCTACCTTTTACGGTCATAAGTTTATGTCCACGACCATTAGTCTCTGTGTGTGTTGCCTTAATTGAAGAATGAATGATTCATTTAATATGATCTCCAAATATTTGAACCAAGATATAAAACATCCTAAGCATAATTGCATCATAAAAGGTTAGAATAGATAGTTATAACAGTTTCAAGGAGAAAGTTATTTTCCTATTCATGTTATGGGTTGAAAAGAAAGAGACGTCTGTTAAATCGAGACATGAGCATATTTGTTGTGTTCTGAAAAATGCTTAGTGTAAAAGTGGTTTCTTTATTCTGCATTTTTAGCTCATTTTACTTTACCATCGATGCCTGCTATAATGGATTTATATGTTACAAAAGTAAAAAGACCTGTGATTTTCTTGCAGGTTTTGCAGTTGTTGTCTCAGAATTGCTGCCTCCCTTTGCCAAAACTGAAAAATAAGATTGATACTATGGTAAGATTCACACACAGCTTTTATTGCTCAAAGTATGAATTTGCAGTTAAAGAACTTCAATAATGAAACATTGCCATAACGATGCATATTTATAGACTTGACAATGCTCTTAATGAGACTATAGTTTTAGGTAATTCACAAAAGAACCAGACATGTAGATCCAAGGCTCTGCTAGATAATATTTTTAAAATCTTATGGCGAAAGCTGCATTATGAATTAAATTAATGAATTTAGTCGATGCAAGAGTTTGATAGTTTAATTATTAGGAATGTAAATAATTTTTTTTAAAATAAGCTAGCTTCTCTCTAGAATCCAGGCGACCTTCTAGCTCCTCATAAGAATCAGGTGTCAGTCGTTCGTCCCTCTTCGGTGGTCCTCAACGTCTTCCGCCGCCCGCCGTCGTTATCCTCCGGCATTTCTCACTGTCGTTCGTACCCAAAATTCACAAGGAGGTTCGTCTCTCCATCGTGTTTCCGAATATGGACCTTTCTTTGCGAGAAAAACTCCCCAATTGGCGTAGAACCCAAGTTGTAGGTTGTGACTTTTCACCTTCTTCGGCGCTTTTTGGTGTTTTTCATCGTTCCCGTCCAAGACCCATAAGATATAGCTCGTGCGTGTCTTGGGAAAAGCCCCACTGCGCGTTTTCTTTTGCGGTTAATGGCGTCCTAGTCGAAAACCCAAGAATTTCTCGTCTTGCATGTGCTTTTCTATCTACTCTCGGCTCCTCTCTGTAGCCTGGTGATGGCACCCGTTTGATCTTATCTAACGTGGGTGTGTCTCAATGGAGGATGGGTGTTGTGGTGACAAGTCTGGTGCAGTAGTAAGAAGTGGGAGAATCGGTAATAATAATTGGTGGAAGTAAGGCCACCCAAAAAACAGTAATGGATACAAAATTGGATGCTATACGTTATACATTGAAAACTTACCAGAGAAGATCCATTGGAAGAGGTTTGTATCTTTATTTTGCACTCACGGTCAAGTAATTGATGCATTCATTCCAACCAAAAGAAATACAAAGGGGGTTCGTTTCAGGTTTATACGCTTTGCAACAATTGAAGAAGCCAGGAAAGCGATCTCAAAGATGAATGGTTCTCACATTGACGACAGCAAAATTGGAGTCTCTTTGGCTAAATACAACACTCGACAGTCTTATTGGAGAAACTCCTCGCTAGTTGTCCGAAAGACTGGGATGGAAGTAGTTACAAGGAATAATTTTTATGCAGTAGTAGGTGTTGTTGACGAAGCTAAACTTCAAGAGTTGGAAAACTGTCTAATGGGGTGGTGCAAAAATTTTATCAAAATCAACAATCTTGCTAGCCAAATGCAAGACAAAGGCCTCGTTGGTTTTTCGTTAATGAGAGCTGCTGGGAATGTAGTTCTATTGATTTTTGAAAACTTTGCTACGTTGAGAAGTGTGAAAAATGAAAAATCAGATATTCTTGTAGAGTGGTTTTCCAGAGTTGCAGCTTGGTCGGAGAGTCTGGTGGTGGGGTGTCGTCGAGTGTGGGTAGTTAGCGAAGGGATTCCTTTTCACGCTTGGAATTGGGGTACTTTCAAGAACATTGCAGCAAGGTGAGGCAAATTATTAGCAATCGACGAAAGCTCTCAATTTCCTTCATCTTTTGATCGGGCAAAAATTCAAATCCTCACAAAGGCTCAGGTGAGAATTGTTGAGTCGGTGGGCTTGAAGGTCGGTGCTAATTTCTTTAAAATCCTGGTGCATGAAGTTGAGCCTTCCTTCAAACCGAAGCCTTGAGTCCCTGAAGAAGTCGATGATTCATTAGATATTGTTTGTTCTCTTGGGGCTTCACAGGACACTTCTCAGTTGAGGTCGTCAGTTTTCTCCTTAGGTTTAAATTGCACTGATGAAGATGTTGCAATTGAAGCTGTCAGCCTAGAAAAGGTTTCACTCGAAGAGTGCCAAAGGTGTTGAGAATTCGAGTACCAAATTTGGTGAGGATGATCTAATTAAAAGCGGGTCTGTCGGTGTTGGATTAGCATTGTCTCCATCCCCTTGTTCAGATTCAGGGTTTCATTCAACGGAGGCTTTGGATCATTCAGACATAAATATCGTGGTGCATCTAGTTGATAAATCAGTTGGCCCTTCTGATGGAGTCAACCCCCGAGCCTCGGAAGATGCTCTTATGATGAGTCTCTTTCCTTCTAATGGTTTACCCGGTGACGCAATACAATTACAGGAAGATACCTCAGCAGTGCCTTCTTTCCCTGGGAAATTAAGTAGAAATCGTGTGGTGAAGAGAGGTAAGCAAAAAAAAGGTGTTTTGAATAAAGTTGTAAGGATAGATTGATTGATGGGAAAGAAGTTTGGTTTTGTTCCATTGAAGATATCTTTAGGAGCTGAATTCATTTTGGTGGTATTGGATCGTGATGGCTCATTTAGTGAAGTTCTCTTCTGAGGCGGATGAATTCGTTTTAATGGTTGCAGGTGTTGTTTTACTGTTATGTTATGTCCTTAGGTGTTGGTTTACTTTTCTTTTGCTGGAGGTGTAACTTAGGAATAGGGTGATTGTCTCTGGGGCTTTTTGGTTGAGGAGGTGAGAGTTTTAGGTGTTTCTGGTTTTTTGTAATGGGTTCTGTCCCTGCATGAGGGTATTCCGTGTTTTCAAATGTACTGGGTTTTTATTTAATGAAATATGAGGTACTCTTTTCTTCATTCCAATGTTCATTAACATACTTGTTAGTATGTGGACGAATACGAAGGGAGTTATTAACGAGACTTCCAATTTTTATCAAAAAAAAATTATTAAGACGGTAAATCACTTCAAGGGTCCTTGGTTTACTTGTAAAAGTTACACACTACAAGTTACTTAGCGCTTGCTCCAGAGGCTTTATTTATTTTTTTGAATCCTTATCAAGCATCTTAGCAAGTAAAATTAGGCTGTTAAAGCTAAGAACTTTTCAAATTCCTAGGTAACTTTATCTTTCTATCACTCGTAAACTGTGTAAAGGGATAAAAGATATGGAGATAAGAACGCAAAAGTAGATAGATCGTCGATGTTTCTCTGGATTTGATCTAGAAGCAAGGAATGGCATTGTATGTTTTATACCCTTGGAATATGTTATTGATTTGGAGATATGAATGAGAAAGCTTATGAATATTTTGAGACGTAAAATGGAAGAGATGACATGGTTTCTCAACAAAATTATGAAGTCCCTAGGGAAACGGGTAAGGATTATCCTATTTTGTAAGGTTAACTGTTTGTTGAATTTTAATATAGAGATCTGAACAGGAGGGGAAGATAAAGTAGGTTTTACTATTGTCTTCCTTTGTACAATCAAACATCTGTTCACGTAGAAACTTGGAAGCTAAATGCAACAGTAGTAAGATTTGCAGGTTGAATGCCATGAATATGAGACAGTATCAGTAATTTCCTTTGCACATTTTATCTCTTCATATTGATGTAAGGTGTGAAGCCGTGTTCCATCGTTACATGAAAATTATCTCTTCATGATGATTTCATCCAGTAACTTGTAGCTGGGATCTTGGTTTCTAAATGTAAACATAAAACACACCTTACTGATCAGAATTAAGACCTACTTTAACAGTTCAATTCTGTGTGGCTCAGCCTGTAATTTTTAAAATATATTCTATTTATTACAGCTGAAGGTATGTCCTAGACTCGTAAATTTTATAGACATCATCTCATAATAGTTTTTATTTTTTTATTAGTTGGATAAATATTTTATTAGTTGCATAAATATTTTACTAGCTGTGCCTGTAATATGATCACTCAGTTATACTTAGGCCTGTAAACGAACATGAACGATGGTATGTTTATGTTCGTTTGTTTAACTTTAACTGAATAAATGAATGAACACGAACAACTAAACGAACAAATTTTTTTGTTCGCGTTCGTTCATTAAGAAACTTAGCCTATTCGTTCATGTTCGTTCGTTAAAATGATAAACAAACACAACCGAACGGACATAAAATTAATTGAGTTTATATTTGAGTAGATTTTTTTTCTTTTCAAATAATTTTAGGATTTATGTTTTCTTTAATTGATTTTAGTATTTTTTATTTGGGTTTAAAATTAATTGGGTTTTAAAATATTAATGGGTTTAAGGTTAAAATTTATTAAGTCTTAATATTTCAAATAGGTCTAGAGATGGATTGAATATAAACGAATGAACATAAAAAACATAAATGGACCTACTTAAACAAACATAAACGAACGAATTATTGAACTTTCATGAACGCAAATGAATGAACGAGTCATTTGTTCATGTTCGTTCATTTAATTAAAAGAGTATAAAATCTTGTTCATGTTCGTTCATTTAATAAATAAATGAACATAATTTTTATTTGGGTTTAAATTTAATTGAGTTTTAAAATTTATTGTCTTAATATTTCAAATAGGTCTAGAGATTGGATTGAATATAAACGAACAAACATAAAAAAAATAAATGAACCAGCATAAAAAAATATAAATGAATGAAGACAAACGAACGAATTATTGAACTTTCACGAACGCAAATGAATGAACGAGTCATTTGTTCGTGTTCGTTCATTTAGTTAAAAGAATATAAAATCTTGTTCTTGTTTGTTCAGTAAATAAACGAAAATAAACGAACTTCTCGTCGAATGGTTCATTTACATGCCTTCTATACTACTATTGTAACAACCCAATTTAGCCCAATTTGAAACCCTAAAATTTGGGATTTTTCTTCAAATCCCTAAAATTGAATTTATGACCAAATTGAAATTTTAGAAATTTTAGTAACCAAATTGTAAAAAAGAAAACTTGCTGTATTTTTTAGAAATCTTGGAGAATATAGGGACTAGTCTTGAGATTAGCCCATTATGTTTTATAACACAATTCCAACCCTACTTTAAAATCATGCGAGCGGTTGCCTGCCCCTTTTGCCCTTTGTTTCTTTTCATTATCGCAGCGTCGTTGCTCATTTCTCCCCTCTCATGTCGTTGCTTCGTCGAACCTAGGTAACCGGAGACTCCTTCGTCGCAAGCACCTCACGTCGTGACTCTCTTTAACGAAAACGTGTTGCCATCGTCGCCTTTGTTCGGTGAGAAATCTTGAGTGTCGTCACCGTTTGCGACTGTTTTTGGCCATGGTTTGGTCAGGGTCGTGTTTGGGAGGCCATAAGAAATCGTATCATCAACGATTATACAAAATATTCTTACTGGATTAATTGAGACTTACAAAATTTAAATTTGTTGAGATTTACAAATTTTGGATTAAGTCGAATAATCTAAAAATTATAAGTCTTGACTAATTTAAATTTTTTTATTCTTGATTAATCCAGTAAGAATATTTTGTACGTGGGTTGATGATATGTGTATATATTATTACATATGATATATAATATAACTTTTTAAAAATAAATTTTAATTTTTTAATAATTATAAGTAATTATTTTATATCATATTATATATATATTCATTTTTTGAAGTATTTTTATAATAGTTTTAGGATTTTTTTAATATGTATATTCAATGTTTTTTTTTTATTTTCAGTATTTTTATATTTAATTTTTTAATATATGAATAATTTTATACTTACAAATTAAAATAAATTTTTATTTTTTAAATTAAATAAGTCATTGAACTTAAAAGAATCAATTTGCCCTCTAACAAATTAAAAAAATTAATTTAGTCCATCTATCATTCATCACGTTATCAACCACTGTGGACCGCCATGTCAGCACTGTAATGATCAATGACGGAAAACGGTTGTCAAAGAGTCACATTGGGTTTGTTTTATGATTAGGAGAGTCAAATTGAGAGAAAAAATAATAAGACAATCACATTGATTGTTTTTTAAAAGTACAAACAGGTGCCTCTGATGTCTTTTTGCCTTTTTTTTTAACTTTCGAACAAATTTGATTTCTTGAGAGACAATTTACAACATGGACTCTCTTAATCTGACCTATTCCTTCTAGGCCGGGTAAAGGAGATTATGATATCCTTTTGGCAGTTGTTTCCTATGGTTTATGGTGGTGGTGACACTACCGATGTTTTATAAATTAAAGGTCCCAATCCCTGAAGAAAAGGGTATTTTGGTGGGGTGTAATGATCAACAAGGTTGTGTTATATCTTAAAAAGACTTGAACAGGAGCATAGATTAGTTTTATAAAGATTATGGTATATTTTGATAAGATGTATGAGCCAAAATTAATTTTTATGTTCATTACGCTTGCTGTAGAAAAGGTGCTGGAGTTATGGGCTATTCAAACTGATTTGTATTTGAAGTCCCTGGACCTAATGTCTTCCAATTTATATCCTATTGGTTCTGTTTCTAAAATCCTGTTAGCTATGGGAACAGGTGAACAACAAATTCCTAGCATGGCAATTTAGTCTATGCATGCAATTAATCATACGTATTCCAACATTCACAAGAGTTAAATGGTGTGCATTTGAATCAGTTATTATCATTTAAGGTTTTGGTGCTGCCAACTTTTTGGTCAATAATTGCAAAAGGTTCTAGACCTGAATCTAATCTGTACTTGTAAACTTTGCATGCATTTGTCTCAGTATTTCATACCCACTGCAAACCTAGAAAAGAAAAACCAATTTGGTGCTCAACTTTTTCAGTAAAAACAGTGTATGAAAAGTTGGAAATGTAGAACTTCGCACATCATATTTTCAGGTATGCTTGTAAATGTTTGGTCCATCAAATAGAAATTTTTTTAACCTTTAATCATACCACTTTTTCCAGTAGAAGCTTAAAGCATGCGGATTCATGATGATAAAACTGTGTTCAGCATGCTCTGAAAGGTAAAATTCAAGAAATTTAAAGATGAAGTACCAAAGAATACCTTGACTTCAGATGTTGGATTCCCCGGTTGATTTTCCTCCTTTGCTTTGTTGTACCGCTCAATTACTGATCTCATGCTGGCAAAGAGAAGATTTGAATTACATCAGAAGTTCTGTAATTTCTGAAGGCTTATAAGATAGAAGGAAAACAGACAAAATGATGATCAGATAACATCTGAAATCACAGTACATGGCCTCTATAAACAATAATGGTATCTTCTATCTGCATAACTGCTTTTGTTATCTTCCTTTTATATAAAATTGATAACGTCTGAAAAAGTTGTGGTTATATTTATCAACCATGGGGTCCTTCCAGAAACATAATCCAGCTGGTGAAAACCAAAGTTTCAAATTTTCAAGTAAGTTTTCCTTTTTGTTAAATATGAAAGTTCAGTCTTGACTAGTCCGGATGTTGCTCTCTCCTTTCATGCTAGCTTTATTTTATCTTGTGCTTGGCTATTCAATTATAACATTGGAACTACAGAGACTGCATACTTGCTAAACTATTTTGCAAACTTTTAATCTCTAGTTTGCCACCTTGCATTAGAAGATTGGAACTACAAAGACTGCATTCTTTTAATCTCTCTAGTTTGTCACCTTGCATTAGAAGATTTGAACTACATAGACTGCATTCTTTTAATCTCTATTTTGCCACCTTGCATTTCCTTCTCAACTTGGTTTCTAGATCTAGTTATTTGAGGAGTCATTTGTGAAAAGATCATCGATCCTATTGTTTTGTCTTAATTCTCCATGTTAGGGTTTAAGGTATAGTTTGACTTCATGCTCGCAATCTGTGCATGTAGTTATTTTGTTTAAAAAAGTATCTTCAGTAAAAATGATTTTTAGGTAAATTATAAATTTAGAATACTAATAAAGTATAAAAAAAATCAGGAAAAAGTCTTCATTTTTCTTTTGATTCCTCTTCACTAATTATACTTTTGATCTAATATTCATAATGTGAATCTAATTTGATATTTTACATGCTAATACATGAATTTATGTATGGATTAAACATAGATTAATTTTTTTTATTCAAGAGTTAGACGTTTATATCAAGTGTGAATTTTTTAGGTTTATAATTTTTTGTGAGTTGAAATTTAAAGTATAATTTGTGAAGTGGAAGGAGTTAATAAGAGGTTTAAGTTGAAACTTTAGGATTAAACTGAAAAAAAAAGAGTTTTCTGAGAAATTTAAAATCATTGGATTGAAAGAGATCAAGGCAAATTTTCTGATTTGCGAGAGGTGAATGTGTTGGCGAACAAGATTGACATGATGGTTAATTGTCGATGTAATGTCTTAAATATTTGAGTCAACATTCGAGCATTAACTCGAGCCTTGAGAATTATTTTAGTTTGTGTTTTGGGGTTGTTGGTTTAAGTTTGAGCCCAATTTGAGTATATCGTGGACCCAATTAAGGTTGGAAAGAAAATTTTGATTTTAGAAGAGACAGAGGGTAAATTATCCATTGAAAAAAATGAAGCAATTTTTTCCTGCTCTACCCATAGGTTCGGCAGAGATGATTAATGGGTGGGCATTATTTCTTCTTTCTTCCTATTCACTTTCTCTTTTCTCTTTCTTTTATTCTTCTTTCACAGAAAGGGATTATCTTCCAAAGCAACTAGTTTTTCTCAAGAAAAACCTCCTAACTCCGCCATAGTGTGTGAGGTTTTGTCTGTTGAATTTTTGCATGTTGGGTGTTGTACAAAACATGCCTAATGATTTAATCCTCAAACAATGCAATTAAAAGTCACTAAAACAATTCATATCTTAAACTTATAAAACTTAAGAATTGTTATCAGACTACTCGTTAGAGGATTACTTAACGGAGAACTACCTATCGGAGGGCTGCTCGACGATGGATTATTTGTTCGAGGATTACCCGACATAGAAGAGGAGTGTCAGGACAAAAGATATTGACAGAGGACATTGTCAAAAGACTTCATGCAAGAAAACATGGTGTAGGGTTAGGTGTAGTGCTCGATGATTGTTGAAGCGGTTGCATTGGCCTTTATTGGTAGTCGATCATATGTTGTGTAGGGTAACTGATCAGACATCTGTGAGCTTGTGTTACTCGATACAAAAAATTGATGTCCAATCTACATAGCACAAGATAATAAAGACTTCATACAAGAACATACACGCTCATCTCAAGATCACAAAGCTCCCAAAACAACAAACGTAGAGGCCAATCGCAGCAGCCACGCAATAAATAGATCTGGAAGATAACCAACGAACATAAGAGTGAACCACTACACAAGAACCATCTCTATCCCCACCCCCCAACCCAAATCCAACCACTGAAAAAGAGGAGAGACTACCATAAAGCTTTAAACATCTCAGGCCTATGCGCACCCATACCAACAAAACTTAACGTCATCCCATTACTCAATTTAGGAACGAAGCTGAAAGTCACATTACCCAGTTAACGGGATAACTTATCTATTTTCAAAAACATAGCCCACCATTTTCAAGGTCTTTGTTGGGAATTCTGGATTCGATACAAAGTCACCTTAAAGCTTAACACCATTCTAAGACAAGATTACTCCAATCCCTTTGCTTCTAGGAAAACCTCCAATGCTAGTTTAAATAGATAAAAATACTAATTCCTTCGTCAAATAATTTTTATTAAAGATCCAATCATTTATGGCGATCCAAAGGCTCCATAGATAGGTGGCACAACAGACAAGCCAAATACACTTTTGAATCCTTGCATGTAGTTGGAGACCACTTAAAAACAAACTCGTCATCGTACCAAATCTTCCGAATTACTTCCGACGTTATCGTTTCCATCTTTGTCTCTTGAATAATTGTCATTTTCACTTTCTGCTCTCGTATTAGTTTGTGAAGTGAAGATTGTTCGACTTCCGAACCCACCACGCAAGTTCCATGAAAACACCTTCAAATCTCTTTTAATCAACTTTAGCAAATACAATCTTGCCCCTATCATGATTCTCTTCAAGACTAGCTATTAGCTTCACCACTTCCTTTTTTTCACCTAGGATTTGAATTTATACTCTTTTTAATATTCAAATACATGATATACACTAATTTTAAATCATGGAGCTTCATATTTTTTATAACTTAATTAATAATTATTTTATTTATTATGATGAAAAGATTTTATTTTAAAGATTTTGGATGACAAGGTTTACAAAATAAAATTGGTTATGTGATTTCGTGTGACACTTGAATCCTACAAGATATTATTATATCAGAATTAGGGAGTTATAGCCATATTTTGGGCAACTTAGAATATCTAAATTTTGATTTAAAATGCACTAACCACACGACTTTAGTGGTTAAGGGACTTATTATCTCTTGATATCGCGAGTTCGAACACCAAAAATGCTAAATGTATGAAGGTTTATTGTCTTGTATTTATTCCAAATGTATCACGAAAAAGTTTTGATTTGAAATAAATTGAAATATCTCAGAGAAAAAAAGAGAAAATAAAAATGAGACATATATATATATATATATATAAATTAACTAAAAACATGCCATGTGATATGAAATTATTAAGGTTAAACGGTACTAATTAACTAAATTGTCATAAGTGACAGTTAACGTTTAAAGTTAGCTATTAATCAAGTTAATCGTTATTAAATTATAGTTATATTTTTAACGGCAAATAAAAGTATAATGGTTGCAACATTTGTGCCACTGATAATGAGTCCATAATACACCTTTGGAGCATCATCGACCATGTCTATCACCTTCCAGACTTCTTTGACATTTCCCTTGAAGTTTGATTGTAACTCCTCGAATTTTGGTTAGTAGTTAAGGTGAATTAAGTGGGGTATGGAGACAATCCAAGTAACTATTTAGAGTTTTGAGGTTTAGATAAATTGGTTTGGCTTCGACTTGAACCGATCTAGACTTAAAAAAGAGTTTTTTTATTCAGGCATAGAAGCAGAAGAACTAGGAGAATAATTAACCCATTTTGTCTTTTAAAGGTTGAAAATTCTTAATTGCATGAGGTCGCATGACATGAGGTTGTCATACTTATTTTCACAATTTTTTGTCTTCTTTTTCAAATTCAAACTTCTTATTCTTTTTCTTTTTCTTATGATCAAGTCAAGGTGGAAGCTTTGTTAATCTTCATTTCTATTCCGAATTTGTGAAGGTAAGAAATGAAATCATGATCTCTTGAGCTTTTATTCAAGCTCATTCTTTTAAGTTTTGGCCACATAAACCTTAGGTGGGGTTGAAGATGTGTTTTGGATTTTAGGGTTCAAGAGTTATCATAATCCATTTTTAGAGCTTAGGAGTCACATTTTAATTCTCCTTAAATCCCTAGATGAGATAGTAACTCATTTTTTTGCTTGTGATTAGTGAAAGAAGTTGGAGAGAGTTTCAAATGCAAAGGCAAGGATAAACTTGTCCTTGGGTGATCTTGGAGTGTTCCTACAACTTAGGTGAAAGATAATACACCTCTAACTCTTCTATACCATTTGTGAGTCCTTACATTTGTTTGTTTGCTTGTATGAGCTCATTGAACACATTGGTGCATTTTCGTTTGATTATGGCTCTAGGTTTTTTAAGGTGAATAATGCATGTCAAAAGACTTATTATGATCCCTATGACTTGTCTTAGTTTTATATAATGTTTAATGGCTCTAGAGGAACTTATGGGTTGAGTGAAGATTATATTTTTGTAGAAACCAGAGTATTTCTGGGTTTAGGTATTGGTACTAGATAAATAGTACTAATATTGTTATTCGGATAGTTAAGATTAGGGAGTTATTGACTAGTGGTATCGATATCATGTTCGGATAGTTAAGATTAGGGAGTTATTGACTAGTGGTATCGATATCATGTTCATAGGGTATTGATATTGTTCATTAGGTATCAATACCCAATGGTATGGTATTGGTA